GGTTCCCGCAGCGCAGCGCGTGCCTGCGCTGCCTCGGCGACGGGCTCCTCCTCCCGTCCGACTCGGGCCTCGCGACGCCGCCGCCACGGCAGCTCCGCCTCGCCACCGACGCTCTTGCGGCGCCGGGAGCCGCGGCCGCCCTGCTCGCGAGTGCGGTGCACCCCGACGCGGTGCTCCGCAAGAACGCGTGGCGGTGCGTGATGCTCCTGCTGCAGCTGCACGGCGCCGCTGCCGCGGCGGCCGGCTCCGCCCGCGTGCCGGACTTCGGAGAGGTGGTCGCTTCGGGCGTGTGGGTGCAGCCGCTTGCGGAGCAGTCGACCGAGGCAGGCCAGCACGCGCAGTTCGCTGCCGCGTGCCTCAAGGAGGTTGCACAGCGCCACGGGGCCGCGCTCGTCGCCGCCCGGCCCTCCCTCGGCGCAGACCTGCTCCGCTCGCTCACCGCGGGCGTGGACAAGCGGGCGACGGCCAAGTTTTGCGCGCAGGCCCTCGTCACGCTGGCGCCGCTGCTCTCCTCGGGCTGGGCCACGGCGGCGGACGCCAACGCGGCGGGAGAGGCGATTGCCGAGAGCCACCCCAAGCTGGCCGACGAGGCTCAGCAGGCGCGCACGCCACCTTGCATCCCACTCCCTCGCCGCCTCCTCCCCTCACCACGCCGGACGTCCCTGAGAGCGCGCACCCCACCGTCGGCAGGTGCGTTTGCTCGTCGGAGCCTGAAGCGGCTGAACACGCGGGTCGAGAGCGGCTGGCTGCGCCGGCGGCGCTGTGGAGTTGCGTGCGACGCGTGTGTAGGGCGGCAGGCTCACGCGCCCCGCAGTGCGGATGGAGCGAGGCAAGGCCAAGTCACTCAGCGTGGCCCGCGCGCGTACATCTGTACAGATGCGACTCTGCTCTCTGCACTCTGGAACTCATGCCACATGCGCACACTGAAAACCGACTTCCGCCGTCCGCCCGCGCCTGCGCGGACACGGAGGGCGGAGAGCCCGGAGCGCGCACACACAACTGTACTGCATTCACTTTTAAGGAAAAAAGGAATGGCGCCAAAGAGTCCATAGAACCACACAGAAAGGGTCGGGCATGGGCCGCATGCTGACCGCGACTACCACTCTCCGCGCTACTCGAGCCGCATGTCGTCGCCCAACGTGATCGCGAGCTCCGAGGCGGCCGACCTCGTGAGCGGCACCGCCGGCGGCACGGTGAGCGCGTCCGCTAAGTTGGATGAGACGGACCGCGAGCGCATCGATCCGCGCTGCCCGTCCCCAGAGGCGGGCGAGCCGCCTTCCGCGTCGCCGGCCTCGGCGGCGGCGACGCTTTGCGCCAGCTCGAGCAGCCGCGCGCGGTTTGACTTTGAGCGAGTGAGCGGCACCCCGGCGAGGCGCACCGGCGACGGCGCGCTCGGCTGCGGCGCCGTGCTCGTCCGCGGGGTCGGCGGCTTCTCCTTTCGGATCGTCGCCGAGGCCGCCGCCGCCGCCGGCGGCTTCGCCTTGCCTCGCCGGCCGCCGCGGCGCGAAGTTTGCACCTCGGTCCACCCGTCATCCTCGCCCGCCTCTGCCGCGGCCCCAGCACTGCAGCCTCCGCCCTCGGCGCCCTCGGCGCCCGTAGGGACGAACTCCGGCGCCTCCACGCGCAGGGACGGGCTGGCGCGCGGGCGCGCCGCGCGAGTCGCCGCGCCCCCGCCGCCGGAGCCTCGGTGAGACTTGAGGAGGGCGGCGAACGAGTCGTCTCCGAGCAGCCGTGCGGAAGAGCGGCGCAGCCGCTCCGTCAATTCGACGCGCGAAGAGAGCAGAGCCGTGACGTGCGGCACGGCGCGCCGGCGCCGGTCGCGCGCCGGAAGCGCCTCGCACGCGTTGAAGAGCGCCGCATAGGTGAAGCGGTCGGGCGCAAAGCCACGCTGCGACGCCGCGTGCACTGCGGCCTCGGCGGCGTCGATGTCGCCCTCGAGCGCGTAGACCGAGGCGAGGGCGTTGTAGGTGACGAGCGACGGGCGCACGTTCGCCGCGAGCATCGCGCTGAAGGCCGCCTCGGCGTCGGGCCTGCGGCCAGCCTTGCCGTACGCGGAGATGAGCGTGTTGAACGTCGGCGCGGAGAGGCGCTCCCCGGCGACGAGCAGCGCCTGCAGCGACGCGCTGGCCGCGTCGAGCTGCCCCGCTTTCACCAGCGCGTTGACCAGGATCGCGTGCGTCGACGCTGTCGGCTCGACGCCCGCCGCGCGCATCGCGTCGACACAGCGCAGCGCGGCGGCGGCGTCGCCGAGACGCGCGTGGGCGGAGCAGGCGGCGTTGAAGGCGACCGCGTCGGGGGCGATGCCGGCGGCGGTCATCTTGTCGAGCCAGCCTTGCGCGGCGGCGGCGTTGCCGGCGCGTGCATGTGCTGAGATGGCGGTCGAGTACGAGACCTCGTTTGGCACCAGCCCGCGCGCGAGCAGCTTTTGGAAGGCAGCCTCCGCCTCGGCGGGCCTGCCGCCCCGCGCGCAGGCGAGCATGAGCGTGTTGTACGAGACCAAGTCGGGCGCCGCGTTCGGGCACTCCTCCGCCGCGCGCGCCTCGAAGTTGGCCAGCGTGGCCCGCGCCCCCTCCGGGTCGGCGGCGTTGGCGTATGCCGACAGGACGGCATTGAAGCACCACGTGTCGGGCTGCAGCCGCGCCGCGAGCATGCGCTTGAGGACGCGGGCGGCGTCCGCGGGGCGGGACTGCTTTGCAAAAGCGGCGATGGTCGCGGTGAAGGTGACGGGCGACGCCGTGAAGCCGGCGTCGATCATCGTCGAGAGGACCGACTCTGCGCGCTCGGGCTGCGCCGCGTCGCCGAGGGCAGAGATGACCGTGTTGAAGGACATCTCGTTGGGCGGGGGCGGGTAGTCGGCACCGGCGGCCCGCTTCATCATGCTGCGCAGCAGCTCGGCGGCGGCGCCAAAGTCGCGCCGCTGCAGGTGGGCCTGCAGGCGTCGCAGAGGTGTGTTGAGGGAGGAGGGAGGAGGGTGGAGGGAGGAGGGGGGCGGGAGGGCGGGCAGGGGCGCTTTCCTTGAGGGCGATGTTTGCCGCCGTGGTGGTGACGGGCACCGCCGCACGCATCTTTGCGAGCCACGCGAGCACCGCCTCTGGGGGCCCCGCCTGCACAAAGGGAACTTGGGTAAGGGGGGTGAAGGGGGTTGTCGGTGGCACAGAGGGTCGAGGCGCCTTGTCGAGCGCTGCGAGAATGTTGTTGAAGATTGACGCGTTGGGAGCGATGCCGTGAGCCGCACACGCCTGCTGGGCGCGGACCGCGGCCGCGTCTACCCCGACCCCGGTCCCAATCAGCGCCGTGAAGAGCATGTTGACGAGGCGGATATTGAACTTGTCGGCGTACCCCTCGAGGAGTTCCAGCGCGCGGGCGTTGTCACCAAGGCGGAGGAGTTCCAGCGCGCGGGCTTCGAAGGAGGTTGTGGTTGCGGTCGGTGTGTCCTCATTTATGCTCGGCATCACCACATCGGCGCCGAGGCCCGGAGGGGTGAGCGGGGTCTGAACCAGCATTTTCGATTTGCTTCCCACCTGGTTCTCGCATCCGTCAGGTACTTTTCGGAGAAATGTCCGCCGAAAAAAAAAGAAAAAATATTATCCTAACGGTGTGGGGGCGCGGAGGGCTTGTTGGCGAGCCAAAATGGTGTTTTCCGAGGCGCTGCGCTAGGCTCAGAGCGAGTTCGCGCTGCGCTAGGCTCAGACGGCGAGTTCGCGCTGCGCTAGGCCCAGCCAGACGGCGAGGTAAGGTAAGGTAAGGTAAACTTCTCCACACACACGAGGTGGTGGGGCAAGGGGGGGCAACCCTCGCGTCTCCACGTCTAACGACAGGAGCCCCACGGCATTTAAAGTGCAAGGCCCGGTGCGCGTGGGTGGCGAGTTCGCGCTGCGCTAGGCTCACAGATGCGAGTGCGCTGCGTCCTGCGATAGAAGAAAAAAACAGGGTCGAAACGACAACCGAAGGGAGGACTGTGTAGTGTAATCATGTGTCAAGAGGCTCAGAGCGAGTGCTGCCATGCTGCTGCTGCTGCTGCTGCTGCTGCGCTGCTGCTGCTGGCCTGCTGCTGCTGCGTGGCGAGCTGAGCCCTGGTGTCGAGGTGTCGAGGCCCGGTGTCGAGGGTGTCGAGCTGCTGTCGAGGGATAGAGGTGTCGAGGCCTGTCGAGGCCTGTCGAGGCCTGTCGAGGCCTGTCGAGGCCTGTCGAGGCTGAAACCATGCTTGTCCGTGTCGAGGAGTGTCGAGGGGTGTCGAGGGGTGTCGAGGGTGTCGAGGGTGTCGAGGGTGTCGAGGGTGTCGAGGGTGTCGAGCGGGTGTCGAGTGTTGTCAAGAGGCGTCTGAGGTATCGAGGTGTCCAAGGTGGCAGGTGGATGCAGTTGCAGCCCATCAACATACAACAAGAGAGAGATACAAAACCGACCTGGCTGAACCGGGCGAGGCCCCCGGGGGCAAAGACGAGATCAGTGAGGTCAAACTTTGGACCCCCCTGCGGGGTGGCTTGCCCGTTGGGGTCGGCCGCGCCGACACCGGAGGCAACCCCGGCTCCGTTGGAGACAAGTTCGCCTTCGGCAACACCGAAGAGCGCGCCCGCCTTGCAAACATGGGCTGCAAGCAACGCGGGTTCCGTGGTCAACGGGCGTTCGACCACACCACCGGCCAAGGCTACGTCAAGTCACAGCGTGGCCACTACCATGATGGGATCTTCACCAAACGCAACAAGTTCAACCTGCTTCTCCACGAGACATTCGGCGGCGGCTTCTCGCCGCCAGCAGTTGCAAAGATCAACCGCCTTGCGCGCAAGGCTCAACGCTCGGGCGTTGACCGCACCGCGTACCCTCCCCACTCCCGCCTCTCATTTGTGTCACACCACGCGGAACGCATCTCCATCGCTTCGGTGAAGGGGGTGAACCGTGCCATCCTCGATCGCCGTGCAAAGCTCGCTTCCGAGCTCTCACGCCGCGCGTAAGGCCCTTAGGGGCCTAGAGAACACAACCCCCTCTCTCTTTCTCCCA